ACCAGTGGGCTTCCTGGCCATCTGACTTTGTTTGGGATTGGCTAAGCAAAGTGTTGCGGAATATTCCTCTACACTGTGTGAAGATATGTCACTGTGATTGGTTTAATAAAGAGCTGAATGGCCAATAGCGAGGCAGGGAGAGGTTAGGTGGGACTTCTGGGGACAAAGGGGCCAGACAGGAAGAAAGGTGGGGTCAGCATGAGCAGTATGGAGAGATGAGGTAATGAGACACACAACACAACGTACATTAGAATAAATGAGTTAATTCAAGTTATAAGAGCCAGTGGGACAAGCCTAAGCTAAGGCCAAGCAAGCTTTCATAATTAATAATAACTGTCAATGTCATTTTTTGTGAGTTATCAGCCCAAAGAAAAATCCATCTACATATGGTGCTAAATGTGGGGCCATGTATATCCACATAAGTCCTGAGTCAGCTTAAAAAAAGAAAAAAAAAGTATGGAACACAGAATCAAATATGGCTGCCTGGTGACCACAGTCTCTCTGGTAGGCTCGGTGGCATACAGAGACACAGCTACCAACCACTGCCTTTGGCTAGAACCAGCTACCAGCACCATGTACCAGTGCCATGCACTAAGGTAAGTCACATGGTGGCTGATATAACAGTTTAAGATTTATCTCATGTGATCAAAGAATGCTGCAGATGCTCAGTAAGACAGATCCAGACAGAAAAAAAAACCCTGTAAACAGGTTACAGTGTGTTAAAAAAAAAAAAAAGAAGAAAAGAAAAGAAAATTGGTACAGATAGTCATAAAAATAGTTTATAAACAATAAGATAATTTTTTAAAGAGAGAATAAAACAATATAAAAAGATATAAGCCATGATCTGGGCAGCAGTGGTGCATGTCTTTAATCCCAGCATTTAGGAGGCAGAGCCAGGCAGATCTCTGTGAGTTCAAGGTTAGCCTGGTCTACAGAGCGTGATCCAGGACAGGCTCCAAAACGACACAGAGAAACCCTGTCTTGAAAAACCAAACAAAACAACAACAACAAAAATATAAGCCATGTAAAGATGGGAAAATACACAGAGAGTCTGGATTTTATATGATTTCTTGTTGATTTTGAATTTTTTGAATGCTAATGAACAGAGAACAACAGCTCCTGAGAGACACTGGATTGTGGAAGGGACTGCTGAATTAAACCAGCCTAGGTACTTTAGAGATGCCTTAACTTTAAAATGGAAGTCAGAAAATGTATTGCTTTGGGGAAGAGGTTATGCTTTTGTTTCCACAGGGAATGAAAGGCTGTGGATTTGTTCAAGGTTAAAGAAGATCAGGTTAAATGAGGGGGTAGGAGGAAACCCCTGAAAATCCTGGCTATAGACATAAAGAAATAAACCTAGAAAAACTAAAAGACAGGTAACATATATTTTACCTGCTCAAACATAAAGCAAAAAAAAAATCATCTTTGGTTGGCTTCTGTACAATGCACAGTCTGTACATGTATTAATGCAGACATGTATGTTACCTTTGAAAGTTTGTGTGTTTTCAGAACAAGAGGACCAGACACCAATGGAAACAGATGCCCTAGGTGATCCAGCTTCTTATAGTACCTCTGTTGCAGTTTCCTCAGAGTTATGCATCCAGAACAGTTTCAGCTGCAAAGGTTAGATTCATGGATCTTTTCCAAAAACAAAACAAAAATAGGCGGGGCAGGGGAAGAGATATTAGGAAAGGGTAGATTATTGAATCTACTTTCTTTTCTTTTCTTTTTTTTTGTTATTTTTTTGGGGGGGGCTTGAGACAGTGTTTTTCTGTCTAGTTTTGGTGCTTTTCCTAGAACTCACTCTGTAGACTAGGCTGGCCTCGAACTCACAGAGATCCGCCTGCCTCTGCCTCCCGAGTGCTGGGATTAAAGGCATGTGCCACCACTGCCTGGCTGAATCTACTTTCTAACTAAAGAATCAACTACTAGTCTCAAATATCTTACATTTTTGGTATGGATTTTTGTATATTGATACAAACTTAAGGTTATGTTTGTTATACTGTATATATGTTTCTATTCTTATTTAAGGTATTGTACCTATGCAGCTCATTTTAAAATGTAATATAAATTTCTAGTCCTTGAAAGCTATTCAGTATGATAAGGAAATATAGTTAGTAGTTAGTCATCTATAACAACCAAACTTATAGTCATGTTAGGTATATTTTCAAGATCAATCAGAGACATATTTTAAATAGATAGATGGCCTTCAAACACTCTAGAGACCTACAGAATATGGCATTTTAATGTTTTGATAACATAGGGCTTTTCATGATAATGAGACACGTCTGCTCCTGGCAGCACCAATTTGTTCCAAAAGAGGATTACGGGCATTGAAAAACCTCTATATGGAGTTTGATTTCATTTGTGGCAAAATTAGCCACTGGGCAAAGATACTGCCTTTGCCTCGACTGCTGACAGTATGCTGTCCAAACTGAACAAGCAGGACACAAAATAAGGCAACTGCCAAACTTTGCCAAGACAAGGTGAGACAGTCCTTCAAAATTCCTGTTTCACAGAAAAGTCTGTCAGATATTCTAGGCCTGTAGATGGATGCCCCAGTGTTACAGAGGAACCTTGGGTGACTGTCCAGGCAGACAGCTGTTTAAATCGTTTCTTATCATTTTGGAAGTTGTTTGCTCTGCACTTCCTGTTTACTCAGGTAATATTATATCCTCCTTGGGTCTTTAATGGGGTTGCAGATTAGATAACTGTAGTATAGAAAGTAAATTAGGTACAAAACTTTGGACTCATCAAGAGAGGATAGATAATGGTGTATTCTCTCTGAATTTGCCAAATACAAATGGACTGGGCATTGTGAATGTAATTCTTTTTTTTTAAAATTTTATTTATTCATTGGTTTTTTTTCGAGACAGAGTTTCTCTTTGTAGCTTTAGGCCTATCTTGGAACTCGCTTTGGAAACCAGGCTGGCCTCGAACTCACAGAGATCCACCTGCCCCTGCCTCCAGAGTGCTGGGATTAAAGGCGTGCACCACCACTGCCCGGCGTGAATGTAATTCTTACCTGATAGTTGTTCTTATTGTTTATAATTTTATTATGTTAGAGTTTTTATTTAGACAAAATGGAAAAAATTTTGCAAAATATTCCTTTATACTATGTGAAAATGTATCACTGTGATTGGTTCAATAAAGAGCTGAATGGACATTAGCTAGGCAAGAAGAGGTTAGGAGGGACTTCTGGGAACAGAGAGAATTCTGGAAGGCAGAGTTACCAACCAGACATTGAGGAAGCAGGATGGGTAGTACAGAGTAAAGGTAACCGAGCCACATAAAAGAATATAGATTAAAAGATATGGGTTAATTTAAGTTTTAAGAGCTAATGGGACATGCCTAAGCTAAAGCCAAGCTTTCATAATTAATGATAAGTCTCTATGTCATTTTTTCGTGAGCTGGCAGCCCAAAGAAAAATCCATCCACACAAGAGGTGGTCAGAGGAAATGAGGACAGTGAGATCCAATGATCATTCTCTTGGTCTTCTCCTTCAGGGAACTCCATAGACATGTTGTATCCCCCATATTGAATGTCACAGCCCTTCCATGGGCTACTATTTCTATGTCTGTGTGATTCTGATGTGTGGTGATATTTTGTTTGTGATCTAAATAAAGCTTGCCTAAAGATCAGAGTGCAAAGCTAAGCCACGAGTTAGCCATAGAGGCCAGGCAATGGTGGCATACACTTTTAATCCTAGCACTTAGGAGGCAGAGGCAGAGGCAGAGGCAGAAAGAGCTTTGTGAGTTCAAGGCCACCCTGGGACACACAAGATTGATCTAGTCTAAAAGAGAAACAGAGCCAGGCAGTGGTGGCACAGACCTTTGATCCCAGCTCTTGGGATCTCACACCTTTAATCCCAGCACTAGGGAAATGGAGACAGGAAGTGATATAGCTGGGCAGAGAGAAGAATATAAGGAGGAAGGAAACAAGAGCTCGGTGTCCTTTTAAGATGAGGATTTCATAGAGGTAAGAACTCTAGTAGCTGACTGCTCTACTTCTCTGATTTTTCAGTTTTCACCCTGATATCTAACCCTGAGTTTTTATTGTTAGAATTCGGATTCATGGTACACTGGTGCATTGTAGAGACTCATAGAATCTTTGTTGAATGGACAGAATAAATAATAAACCTGCCTGTCCCTTTTGAAGACAGTAAAGGAATTCTTGACCCAGCCTACACAGCCACTAACATTTCCTCGGGTTTCTAGGCAATCATCTTTAGACCAATGCCAAGGCCACCCTTGCTAGTGCTGAAAGCTTCACATCTCTTGTTAGTTAGTTGGTTTCCTGAATTCTCTCATATCTTTGGAAATAGCCACTTATCTGAAATATTCCTGTTGGGTGTGCTGTAATTTTTTTGAGGATCCTTGATGATCTACCAACTCATTCCTCAGATCACAAGCATCTCTGCCTGACCTTTTTCCCCCTCCTGGGCTGAATTCTCCTGTTATATGCTTTCTTGTTTTCACCTTCTCATACTCTTCCTTTGTAACATTCACAATTATTATCATTTTCACTGATGAATGGTCAATTGCTTAGTGTTATGGTTAGTTTTAACTGTCAACTTGACACCATTTAGAATACCTAGCAAAGGAGTTTTAGTGAAGGATAATCAAGATTGGTTACCTTGTAGGGAATTTTCTTGATTACACTGGAATGAGAAGATCCATCCACAATGGGTGGCACCATTCCCTAAGTAGTAAATTATTTATTGTAACAAATCTAAGCACTAACATATATGCATTAATTCATTGTTCTCTGCTCTTGACTGTGGATGAATAAGACCAGCTGCTTCAAGTTCCTTCTGTAGAGTCCAGAATGGGACATTAAATCCCTTAGAGCTGAAGTTGCAGGCAACTATGGGTCTTGGGTGTTAGAAACCGAACTTCAGTCCTCAACAAGAGCAGTATGTACCCTTAACAACTGAGATATCTCTTGAGTCCCTAACATGGTGACTTTAAGAATTCTCTAAAAGATGCCTTTCTTTTGCCACTGACATGTTATTATGACTTTATGATCCAGTTGGCTCTTGTGTCCCATGTCCTTCTAGAGAGGAAGTTCATTCTCAACTGCCTACTAGATACCCAGACAGTAAATGTAGACATGGTCAATTCTTTTTTTCACATAGCATAAGAAAGTGTTATGAAATGTCTGCAAAGCCAATAAGGAAAAATCAACAATTGGTCCATTTAACATCGGCCAAATGTCCTGTGAATTCATTGGTAAATAAAGTTTGTTTATTTTATTGATTTATTTTTAGAATGTCCTTTTGATTTCTTCACCCCAAAAAAAAATCCTGTGAAATGTTTGGACATGAACAATATAGCTCCATGTAATATTAAATATATATTTTTTCTTAGGTTTAATTTAAAAAGGTAATAGCCAAAGTATTAAGAACACATGAAACCAAACTATGCAGAATAAAATAGTAAAAGTAAATATCAAGTGTGTGTAGTTGTCAGAGGCTGTGTCTGCCCAGCAGTTTGTAAACATTGCCTTCTTTACTGGTGCTGAGGACCTGATAATGCAGTGCTGTCATTTTCAATGTGTTATAGGCACAGACACTGGTGCTCAGAAGAGGTCAGTCACGGACTTGATGAATGGCAGAGTTGAGATTGTTTAATCATCTAACTCTAACCTTAAGCTCTTAGTCAGTCTCTTCCCTTTCAATTGTAAGTCATCCTTTGTACCTCTTTACCACACTGTTGGCCTTATGTTTGGCCCCAGCTACTCATAAACTGCCTTTCCATGTCAGGGTCCTTATTATCCCATAACTAATTCCTCACATGAGGCTTGTTATTATTCCTTTCTCTTTCCTTGTTTATACACCTTAAAAAAGGCTCAGAACTGCAATGCCCCAGCTGCCATGACTGAATACTTTATATTCCTAAACTCTGTCCCCTGCCCACCCGTGAACTCCTCCAGCCATAACTCCTTGAAGCCATTGCTTATTCTAACTGTCTTTCCCTCCTCTCCCAGGCAGCCCAAAGTTAGCCCTGGCCCAGGCTCTTGCATATGCTTCCGTCAACACTGATAGCCCATAGCTCCAGAGCCCACACCCAAGCCTGCTGGTAGGCTAACTACGACCCGGCAGGTTGGCTGAGCAGCTCCTAGGCAGTAACAGAATGAGGAAACTGCACCCGCTTCTGCTGTCAATCACACCTCTAACTAAGTGTCTCAAGGGTGGCGGAAGATTCCTTTCGCAGCCTTTGCGGCTCGGACTTAAGTCTTGTTCGGATAATTAGCACTTTCATTATGGCAGAATTCTGCCACAACAGCTCCTCATAAGACAGAATTCTGTATCTGCTGTGCAGCGAAACTTCCTTTCACCCCGAGGGCTGCCTGTGTTTAAATAATGCAGAATTAATTTTTATGAGTACCTGCATTTCATTCCCCTAGTCTTCCGGCAGGGGACGGATAAATGTATCTCTCATATGCTCTCCACCCTTTTGCCTACTATTTTACAACTCTCTAAGACTTGGGAATCTACAAAGCCTATTGGCCACTTTTACTTTATCTTCCTATGGTTATTCCCTCTTCAGAAGGCAGGAATAGATTCTGACACTCACTTGGCCCCAAACCTCAAGCACCGATTCCTTTGTCAGACATCTATTAAGTGTGTCTTGTTGCCCATTGCTCCAGGCACTTGGAGGTTCTGGGAGTGTGAAGAGGATCCAGCATGGTTGTTTGGCAGAAGGAAAGACACATGGAGGAAGAGGCCTGTTAGAGACGAATACAGCAGTGTGCTGAAGTGGCAATGGCAGAATGACAAAAGGCACAGAGCAGGAAGGAGGGAAGTCTCCTGTGTTAGAGGAGACTTCACAGAAATGACCTGGAGAGTTGTCTTCATTACTGTTCTATTGCTGTGAAAAGACACCATGGCCAAGGCAACTTATAAGGGGAGGCATTTAATTAGGGATTTGCTTACAGTTTCTGAGGATTGGTCTTTCATCATCATGGCATAGCAGCTTGTAAGCAGGCTTGGTGCTGGAGCAGTAGCTGAGAGCTTTACATCCTGATCCACAGACAGTAGGCATAGAGAGAGAGAGACACTGGGCCTGGTGTGAGCATTTGAAACCTTAAAGCCAGTGACACACCTACTTCAACAAGGCCACACCTACTCCAACAGGGCCACACCTCATAATCTTTCCCAAATAGTTCATTAACTGGCAACTGAACATGCAAATATATGAGCCTATTGGGGGGCCATTCTCATTCAAACTGCCACAAGAGTGAACAGTATAAAATAAGACAAGGTTGTACAAACTGAATGCAGGGCTAGGTAGGACTCTTGGGAAGTATGCACAAGGAACTTAAGAATAAGAGCTGGAGCCCAGTGATACCTCAGGAGCATGAGATATCAGAGGCAGAAGCATTAGGGGAGCATGGCTGAGACTTGAACAAGCAAAAGCACAAAAAAAGTTTAGAGCCTTGGTCATGATTCTTATGCAAAGCAGGATCACCACTGAGTCATCAACAGAATGACAT